CCACTGAGATACCATGCCGCAGTTTAACATGTATACCCCACTCAGACACAGTATACTGACTCCGAGCCGACCAGTCCTTGTTTTAGCCCCTAAATGCCGAGCGCCAGACAGGGTAACAACAAGTACCATCTTTTAACGTCTTTTGGTATGACGCGGCCGGGGATCGAACCCTGGACCTTCCGTTCTCCGGGCGGACGCTCAACCACTAGACCACGGAGGCGGTCGATTACTAGATGTAGCCTACATTGCCAAATGTGTCAGAATCATATACACCCATACGTGTTTTTAAGAATCATACCCAGTCAATGTTTGTATGTTAATTAAGGGACCCGTGAAGATCCGGGGTAGAATAGGATATCAGCAATCCATGCTTGCCGTAAAAGGCGACTATGCTTGTCGTAAAAGGCGACTAACTGGATCGGATGGTCAGGTTCGCTGACTTGTTTGATGCATGTCATCGATCCAAATTGCGTGGATCGATGGTCATATCAAACACTGGATTGTCTGGTCTAGATTCGATTATTTACAGACCGCCGTCATATATCTGGAATACTGCTGATTGCGGCGTTAAACAACAAACAAACAAAACATTTATTAAGGGACTGATCCTATGATATTCTGTTGGAGGGGTGCCTTGGACTTTGTCTGGGACTGTGTCTGGGACTGTGTCTGGGACTGTGTCTGGGACTTTGTCTGGGACTGTGTCTGGGACTTTGTCTGGGACTGTGTCTGGGACTGTGTCTGGGACTTTGTCTGGGACTGTGTCTGGGACTGTGTCTGGGACTTTGTCTGGGACTGTGTCTGGGACTGTGTCTGGGACTTTGTCTGGGACTGTGTCTGGGACTGTGTCTGTGTCTGGGACTTTGTCTGGGACTGTGTCTGGGACTTGGTCTGGGACTGTGTCTGGGACTTTGTCTGGGACTGTGTCTGGGACTGTGTCTGGGACTGTGTCTGTGTCTGGGACTTTGTCTGGGACTGTGTCTGGGACTTGGTCTGGGACTGTGTCTGGGACTTTGTCTGGAGATCAGATATTTGTCTTAATTAAAACTATGAGTCCGAATATTGTTTTAAGGAAAACACCTTGCAACGTTTTAATTGTTGTAGCAGACAATTTCTTTCTTTTCAACAGCAGAAACCTATGATCGATTCCCGGGTCGCCCCGATTATGTTTCTAGGTTTGTCAGCACCACACCATATTCCAGCCATATGACGGCGGTCTGTAAATAAACGAGTCTGGACCAGACAATCCAGTGATTGATATCATGAGCATCGATCCACACAATTGGGATCGATGACATACATCAACCAAGTCAGTGAGCCTGACCACCCGATCCCGTTAGTCGCCCTTTTACGACAAGCATAGTCGCCTTTTACAGCAAGCATGGGTTGCTGAAGACCTATTCTACCCCGGATCTTCACGGGTCTGACTCATTCAGGGAATACTGACCTTAGCGCTGACTAAAATAAGGATATTAAGATTGTCACAATGTTGGTAACATGATCATAACCCAATCATGATAATTGCTCTTGATGTCATCCACTGGCGGGCACAAGTGTGATTTGGCTGATTATGTGTTATAGAGTAGTCATCATGCTATCAGCCATCGGTTTGCTTGTCCCAGATTCTTTTATTTTCCCGGCTGTCATGATATACAAGAAGTATGGCCCTGATGACATGGCATATTGCTTGTGCTATCAACCATTGGTTTGAAGCGCCCACTTGGTCTTAGATGTATCTGGAGTAGTACTGATTGTGAATAAAACAACATTCACTCACATGACTCATTGTTGCCATGGTAGTTTAGCCTTGATATTCACATGTTCTCATCCCTTCCAAATTCCTAAGGTTTAATTCCCATATAGGTAGAGTCTGTGATGAAGCTTTCATCTGTGTCCCCAGACATATGACTGGAAAATCTCAACAGCAGAATAACCATGATAACATGCATTAATTGAGTGAGTGAGTATGTTTTTACGCTGATTTTAGCAATATCACAGCGGGGGACACCAGAAATGGGCTTCACATATTGTACCCATGACGGGAATCGAACACGGGTCTTTGGCGTGACGAGCGAACGCTTTAACCACTAGGCTACCCGATCGCCCCTATGCATGAAGCAACACTCACTCCTCATCCACATGACCTTGATCACGTAGACACATGCAGCGTTAATGACTTTCAATTAGAATCAAAATACAAGTACATGTATATGTTTTTAATAATAAATCGGTTATTTCAGTGTGTTTCCACAACAAAATGACAGTTATCACAATTTTCACAGCATTTAAAGCTTTATGATCAGAACCATAGCATCAGAAAAAATTACCGAAACACAAGCAAAATACTGTTTTCTTATGACATTCACACTCACAAATATATACAATAAATATTACTACCTATATATAAAATGTCACTTAAAATGGCACTCTGAAGCAGAGCAAAATAAATCATTCATCATGTTAATTTAATATCCTCTGTATACAATAGTACACGTCTCATATACTTTCATCACAAACATTTTACAATCATTTTAACCATGTTAACAGTGAGTTTTAACAACAAAATGATAGTTATCACAATTTTCACTGCATTTAAAGCATAATGATCAGAATCACAGCATTAAAATAAATTAACAGAAAAAAACCTGTTTTCTTATGACATTCACACTCACAAATACATATAATAAATATAACTACCTAAATTTATAAAATGTCACTCTATAGCAGAGCAAAATAAATCACAAGAAATGACAATATTCATCATGTTTTAATATCCTCTGTATACAATAGTAGGCGTTTCATATACTTTCATCACAGAGGACCCGTGAAGATTCCGGGGGAGAATAGGCCTTCAGCAAACCCTTCTTGACGTAAAAGGCGACTATGCTTGTCGTACAAGGCGACTAACGGTCAGACTCGCTGACTTGGTTGAAGCATGTCATCGATCCGAATTGTGTGGATCGATGCTCATGATGTCAATCACTGGATTGTCTGGTCCAGACTCGATTATATACAGACTGACGTCATATAGCTGGAATATTGCTGAGTGTGACGTTAAACATGTTAAACAACAAACAAACAAACATCACAAAGATTTTTTTTCAATCATGTAAACATGTTTAACAGTGTTTAAAAGTGGACTAATTTAAAGACCAATCACTTTACTTGATTCATGTCATTTCATCATTTGAAATATTTTAATGATCTGCAATACACGAGTGTAAGCATATACCTAAAGTATTGTGATTTGCAAAAACATTAACAATATTAAAACTTAAACTGCAAGCACTCAGTATGTGTATGTGAGAGTTGTTATCATTACTTGTTAAAGAATCTACCTATTAGCCAGTTGCATACAAGTCTGTTAGCAGGCCAATATGGTTGCCATGATTGATGTGATATCATTTGCTTGTCACCTCACAGCTGACCCTGTTTGAAATGACACGATACATTTCCAGATGTAATTTTCCTAACATGCTTAATTAGAGGTGTCACACTACACCTACCTCACATATCAATACAAAGCATGATACTCGAGCCCTGATACAGTACATATCACAAGACCTACCGTATTCGACGTAATAAGCGCCCCGTCCTAAAACGCGCCCACGGCGATATTTGCTAATATATTGGCTAGTGAACAATCCCAATTAGCACCCCTTCCAATTGACCAATGTACACAAGACGTATTTATTCGTGTATAGTACACACTCGGGAGTTATATGCACCCTTAATTATGGGCAATTAAATTCTGGAAGATATATCTGTCATGTATAATATGACTTTTTTTCTGTATCATTTCAGGCTGTCAGCATAAACCACAAAATTTACGATCTTTCAACTCTCACCAAAATTATATTCTAATAAGAACCCCCTATTTCTAATTTTGAGAGCGCCCTGGGCCCTTATTACGTCGAATACGGTAATTCATGTAATTTGCACTGCAAAGACTTCCTCAATTTTCCATGAAGCACAGAGATTTTTGCTAACCCAGTTAATGTATAAATCAAACCATGGGTTGATTTAGTCATGTTCGAACCCTGCTCATACTATTTACTATTAATGGTATTATGAATCAGACTTACTATTAAGTTTCATGATATTGGCAGGCAATAGGGTAATGATAGCTCAAGCGATTCAACATGATGACGCTGGGTTATTGTAAAGCTAAGTAACTGTAACTTTTTGAAACTCTATACCAGTTACTGTGTGAAGCCCATTTCTGGTGCCCCCCATCGCGATATTGCTGGAATATTGCTAAAAGCGGCGTAAAACCAAACTCACTCACTCACTCACTTATGAAGCAACAGTTGAATGTCTTAGTATTCAGGACGAATAATATTGAAGTAAGACTGAAAACACTTGGTTGTGTGATACCAAATCCCACACTGAATCTGTTTATCTCCCTTAGACCAGGTGGCAGAGGCAGCTTGATAATGTCCTGTTCTAACCATGCCTATTCTATTTACCAATAAATAGTATTCATTATGAATCAGACTTACTATTCTACATGATCAAGCTGGGTTATTGTAAAGCTAAGTAACCATAACTTTTTGAAACACTGTACCATGCACATGATGTACATTATACAAAATTAACCTAATTAAGACATGAAACAAAACATGGAATTGTGTATTGTATCAGCATGTTTAACATGTTTAAATTCACATGATGCAACAATAGATAGTGACACCCTCAAAGCCCAATCTGACCGCCTCCGCGGTCTAGTGGTAGAGCGTCTGCCCGGAGAGAGGACGGTCCGGGGTTCAATCCTCGGCCGCGTCATGCCAAAAGAAGCTAAAAGATGGTACCTGTTGTTACCCTGTCTGGCACTCGGCATTAAGGGGCTAAAACAAGGACTGGTCGGCTCGGAGTCAGTATACTGTGTCTGGAGTAGGGTATTCATGTTAAACTGCGGCATGGTATCTCAGTGAGCTAGCACTATAAATCGGCATCAGTCCGGACTAGTACAAGCAGCCACACAAACACACATACACACGTGCATGCACGTCGCTATATAAGTGCAATAATCTTTGATCATGTTGATGCGATGTTAAACCCAATTTCACCTCACCTCAAAGCCCAATCAACAAGATCAAACATTATGTGAATTAACTTTCCAAATGATAAAATCCAGGACAACAAATAATAATGACTATAAACCGCATAACACAAATTAATATTATTACGAGCATTCACTAGTCACACCAGTACTACACATCTAGTAAGGATGTATTTCCATCTGGTCAGAAAGGTTCACTTTTGTCAAATTCAGGATGCTCGTGAGCCCATTCATTCGTAAAATACTTGACGGTGTTGTCCAGCTCCCGCAGCTTCTCAAAATCACTTGATGAAAGCTTCCATTCAAGAACATCAAAGTTTTCTTTAATTCTCTCAAAACTTTGACTTTTAGGCAAAACACCCATCCCCTTAAGCAACAGGAAGTTTAACAGTATCTGCCCTGGGGTCTTTTTGTACTCCACTGATAATTGTCTTACTTGTGGATCTTCCAACAGCACCAAATCATCAGTCTTTTTATCTGGCTTAGATGGTGCCCCGAGAGGCGAATATGCAGTAAGTACGATGTTCTTCTTTCTACAAAACTCAACGAGCTTGTTCTGCTGCCAGTACGCATGCGCCTCAAGTTGAAGGTTTGCAGGCTTGATTTTAGCTTTGTCCCATATTTTCTGAATCTGTTTTGGGTTGAAATTAGATATTCCAAGGCTTTTGGCCCAATTCTGACCATGCATTTGTTCAAATGCAGCCCAGGTTTCCAGAAGATCATGATGTTGAAGTTCACGTTCTCCTTTGGGGTTAAGAGGTTTGAGTGTTCCATCGCCTCTGTTGACATTACCCCAAGGCTGGTGGATTAGCAGCAAGTCGACATGTCTCAGTTTGAGACTTTCAAGCGACATTTCGCCACTTCTGATTGCTGCGTCTTTTTCCAAATAAGCACAGGGTACCTTTGTTGTGATAAACAAATCTTTTCTTTTATTTTTTCCTGACCTTATCCTGTCATTGACGACCTCGCCTACTTCAACCTCGTTACCATAGCTGAGCGCGGTGTCGATGTGTCTGTACCCAAGGAATAGGGCGTAGTCGACGGCTTGTTTCAAAATATCCCCTTTCATGAGGTAGGTCCCAAGGCCGACAGTCGGCATTCGTAGGCCATTATTCATCGTCAAATAGCGCATTGTGGATGCCATTGTATTTCCTTATCAGTTTCACTGCGAGTGTATCAGATAATCAGCGGATAGAGGAACACATAGTGATGAGACCTGATGAGACTTTGCCGTCCAGTCAAGCATTTGTTTACAAACATGCACACGTGAAACAAACCGGAAGTAGCAACTCGAAATACGGTTGTCGTACACGAGTTAGGGCAGAATTCTTCTACTTACCACAGACGAGTTTCCATGACTGTTGTGCCTCGGTGCCTTGCTAAAGAAACTATAATTAACCGAAATACAATTAATTTGCTATGATTGTATTTTTATAGTGTTTGCGACAAACATTCAAGAATAGCACTCCCCCCACAAAGAAGAGGCAGTGACTGCGAGCGGCTATCTTTCGGCCGATGCAGACATGCAGATGTTTTCGTTCATTTGTCCTCGATTAATTTTGAGATTCTATTTCAAGTGGCGAGGACTATAATGCTTGTAAGAGAGAGCAGAGACCATATAATAGATCTATTATATGGTCTCTGGAGAGACATAACTGTGATTGAGAATCTTTGCTAATAGGTTATTTACAACGAATTTGTCATGGCCATAGTAATCAGTTACTGACAAAAAATATTTATGTCAACAACCTGCATGGGTTCTTTCTTTGCATTTGAACCTGTTTCATATACAATGAAAGACCGTTAACCCGGTCGGTATACGGTCTATAGTTAACCTGGTCGGTACAGTCTATAGTTAACCCGGTCGGTATATGGTCTAAAGTTAAGCCGGTCATTACAGTCTATAGTTAACCCTATCGGGACAGTCTACAATTAATCCGGTCAGTACAGTCTATAGTTAACCCTATCGGGACAGTCTACAGTTAATCTGGTCAGTACAGTCTATAGTTAATCCTTTCGGGACAGTCTACAGTTAATCCAGTCAGTACCGGGTTGGTACAGCCTATAGTTAACCTAGTTGGTACAGTCTATAGTTAACCCGGTCGGTATATGGTCTAAAGTTAAGCCGGTCATTACAGTCTATAGTTAACCCTATCGGGACAATCTACAATTAATCCGGTCAGTACAGTCTATAGTTAACCCTATCGGGACGGTCTACAGTTAATCCGGTCAGTACAGTCTATAGTTAACCCTATCGGGACAGTCTACAGTTAATCTGGTCAGTACAGTCTATAGTTAATCCTTTCGGGACAGTCTACAGTTAATCCAGTCAGTACCGGGTTGGTACAGCCTATAGTTAACCTAGTTGGTACAGTCTATAGTTAACCCGGTCGGTATATGGTCTAAAGTTAAGCCGGTCATTACAGTCTATAGTTAACCCTATCGGGACAGTCTACAATTAATCCGGTCAGTACAGTCTATAGTTAACCCTATCGGGACGGTCTACAGTTAATCCGGTCAGTACAGTCTATAGTTAACCCTATCGGGACAGTCTACAGTTAATCTGGTCAGTACAGTCTATAGTTAATCCTTTCGGGACAGTCTACAGTTAATCCAGTCAGTACCGGGTTGGTACAGCCTATAGTTAACCTAGTTGGTACAGTCTATAGTTAACCCGGTCGGTATATGGTCTAAAGTTAAGCCGGTCATTACAGTCTATAGTTAACCCTATCGGGACAGTCTACAATTAATCCGGTCAGTACAGTCTATAGTTAACCCTATCGGGACGGTCTACAGTTAATCCGGTCAGTACAGTCTATAGTTAACCCTATCGGGACAGTCTACAGTTAATCTGGTCAGTACAGTCTATAGTTAATCCTTTCGGGACAGTCTACAGTTAATCCAGTCAGTACATTCAACAGTTGACCCAGTCGGTACTGTCTATAGTTAATCCGGTCGGTACAATCTGTAGTTAATCTGGTCAGTACAGTCAATTGTTAACCAGGTTGGTACAGTCTACATAGTTAACCCCGTCAGTATACGGTCTATAGTTAACCCGGTCGGTACAGACTGTAGTTAACCAGGTCGGTAGAGTCTGTAGTTAATCTGGTCGGTACAGTCTATGGTTAACCCGGTCGGTACAGTATATAGTTAACCCAGTCGGTACAGTCTTTAGTTAATCCGGTCGGTACAAGCTGTAGTTAATCCGGTCAGTAAGTCTATAGTCAACCAGGTCGCTACAGTCTATATAGTTAACCCAGTCGGTACAGTCTTAAGTTAACCTGGTCGGTACAGTTTATAGTTAACCCAGTCCGTAAAGTCTATAGTTAACCCGGTCGGTACAGTCTATAGTTAACCCGGTCGGTACAGTCTATAGTTAACCCTATCGGGACAGTCTACAGTTAATCCGGTCAGTACAGTCTATAGTTAACCCGGACAGTACAGTCTATAGTTAATCCCATCGGGACAGTCTACAATTGATCCGGTCAGTACATTCAACAGTTAACCAAGTCGGTACTGTCTATAGTTAATACGGTCGGTACAGTCTGTAGTTAATCTCGTCATGCAGTACAGTCTAGAGTTAACCTGGTCAGTACAGTCTATAGTTACCCCGGTCAGTACAGTCTATAGTTAATCCGGTCGGTACAATCTGTAGTTAATCCGGTCAGTAAGTCTATAGTCAACCAGGTCGGTACAGTCTATAGTTTACCTGGTTGGTACAGTTTGTAGTTAACCAGGTCGGTATAGTCTGTAGTTAACCCGATGAGTACAGACTATAGTTAATCCGGTCGGTACGGTCTATAGTTAACCCGGTCGGGACAGTTTGTAATTAATCCGGTCAGTGCAGTCTATAGTTAACCCGGTTGGTACAGTCTACAGTTAATCCGGTCGATACAGTCTGTAGTTGATCTGGTCAGTACAGCCTATAGTTAACCCGGTCAGTACAATCTTTAGTTAACCAGGTCAGTATAGTCTATCTTTAACCAGGTCAGAACAGTCTATAGTTAACCTGATCGGTACAGTCTGTAGTTAATCCGGTCAGAACAGTCTATAGTTAACCCATCCGGTACAGTTCCATAGTTAACCCGGTCGGTACAGTTTGTAGTTAATCCGGTCAGTACAGCCTATAGTTAACCCATCCGGTACAGTTCCATAGTTAACCAAGTCGGTACAGTCTATAGTTAACCCGGTTGGTACAGTCTATAGTTAACCTGGTCGGTAAGTCTATAGTTAACCTGGTCGGTAAGTCCGTAGCTAACCCGGTCGGTACAGTCTATAGTTAACCCGGTTGGTACAGTCTAAAATTTACCAGGTCAGTACAGTCTATAGTTAACCTGGTCAGTACAGTATATAGTTAACCCGGTCGGTACAGTCTATAGTTAACCTGGTCAGTACAGTCTATAGTTAACCCGGTCAGTACAGTATATAGTTAACCCGGTCGGTACAGTCTATAGTTAACCTGGTCAATACAGTCTATAGTTAATCCGGTCGGTACAGTCTATAGTTAACCCGGTTGGTACAGTCTATAATTAACCCAGGCGGTACAGTCTATAGTTAACCCGGTCGGTACTGTCTATAGCTAACCTGGTCGGTACAGTATATAGTTAACCCGGTCCGTACACCCTACAGTTAAGCCGGACGGTACTGTCCACATTTGTTGATAAAGGACAATGCCATTTTTCTCCCAGAGGATTTGCATAATTTAAGAAATCGTGGAAACTCTTAGAAGTCTTTGTAAAAAAATTCAGATGATAAATAGATGAAAATAGATTTTATCATTTCAACACTTGCACGTTTTGGACACTATCTTAATGGCTAACGTATCAAGAAGACTGACTGTAGCGGTTTTCTTAAGAGTTTTTCAAATATTTTAACAAGAGGAAGTCTTTGACCCAAGTTTTTCTTTTAACAAGACCCTTCTCGGCATTTTTCACTCACATTAGCTGTACTCATGTATTTGGCCATGCCAGAAGTCCAGAAACTTCAAACAAGAACAACACTTGCTACAATATAAAATCATTTATTACAGATTTTGTAAATGGTTAAAAAAGCAACACTATGTCCATATTTTCCAAAAATATACACATTCATACGTATCACAAATGCACATACCGTATTTCCTCAAATAAAAGCCCGAACCATTATTAATGTCCATTTAAACCAGGCACATATTAGAAGCCTGTAATCCTTTCCTTTTTGTAAACTGTTTGTGTTGAATTTGGTTGGTTGGGTGTTTAACGCCGCAGTCAGCAATATTCCAGCTATATGCCGGCGGTCTGTAAAAAATCGAGTCTGGACAAGACAATCCAGTGATTAATATCATGAGCATCGATCCACGCAATTTGGACCGATGACATGTATAAACCAAGTCAGCGAGCCTGACCCCCCGATCCCGTTAGTCGCCTTTTACGTGTTTGTATTGAAATGTCACAGAGAGAGGTAATGACAGAGGAAAAAGGCATGGCAGTAAATGACGGGATTGGATTTCTCACATGGGCATTTGGAAATGTCCAATATGTCTACAGTTTGCTAATTATCGCAATGAAACAATCTTAGTATAACAATCATTGCTTAATTGTAACTTATTTACATCTGGGCCTAACATCAATATGTTCTGCACTATGACCAATATATAACTTAAAATGGTGTTTTATTTCACGAGAACCAAATAAATGTATATTAAGGATACTCATCGAGTCATACTAAACGAGTGGAAGACTTACGGTAACACGTGGCCCAAAATATGTCAATAATGGAATCCCCTTACTGCACACGTCAGAGGTACGTCTTAATTAAATGTATCTCTGGAAATATACAATGAATTGAGTGAACAATTGTTACGCAAGACTACACCTTAGATGGCATCTTCCCGAGGCAAGAGAGTTAACTGACTATTAAAGTGCCAGTTTCCACCCTTGCCGAACTAGGCTGGGATTATGGAGTTACATTTTGGCTGGACTAACGAGTCTATGCATAGTCCAATCAAAATCGCGCACCGAAATCGAAATCCGGTTCGTAAACTGTCATGCAGAGTTCGGTCGATTGCAGGATTTGCAAAGCATGTGCATCGCCAACTCGTTGTCAACAGATATTTTCCAAATCTTTTCATGTTTTTAATCAAGGTGCTCACGTGATTTGATGTACTTCGCGAAGTAAGAACTGTTTTATCACAAAATAGATCTTGATGGTCGATCAGATCGTCTTGACTGGGCGCCACCATTTTGTTTGAAACAAATGCATGTGATACGAGAGGTGGAATCTGATTGGTACATATGGGAGAGGCATAGAATGGACATAACTCATAATAGCCACTGGTGGCGCTACGATCGAGCCAAGGAATTCCAGCCTAGTTCGGCAAGGGTGGAAACTGGAATTGTAAAGTCAGTTAACGCTCTTGCCTCGGGAAGATGCTAAGATGGCTACCTGAAAGGGTTTTTTATATTCTTCTAGCCTGAAATATTGAATTTTTGTGACTAAGAGCATTGTTACTGTCTGAAGCAATTGGAATCAGGTGCAGAGCTACAGATAAGCAGCGTATTTGCGTAACCCCCCCCCCCAAAAAAAAAAAAATATTCAAAACCCAATTACTTTCATTTAACTTGCGTCCAGAAACGCATGCATGAAATGAAAAACTCAAATGTATAAAAACAGCACGCGTAAATACCTAATGAAGCTTTATGAGCATGCGTACAAAGGAGCTAATTTCCGAAACACAATTACGAGCTAATTTACTTTCCGAGTCAAGCCTATATTTAGAACAGTTATGTTATGTACATAAAAAAATTCATGTTTTTAAAATCTTAAAATGTTCATTCTTTTGGGGAAATACCCAATAGAGTGAAGAATAGATGAGTGAAAAAATATTGGTTACCCAAAGAAAAATGTTTTAACCTAATTAAAATAGAAACCCTAGAGTAAAAACTCAATTGCTCGAAAGGTTATCTGGAGCTCTGCAGGTGACAACGAGGCATTGATCTTAATATATGGGTTGTTGACTGCGCTGACAGACGCGGCGACACTCTCCCAGAGTTTTGAAGTTGTTAGCGTTGCCCCCACACCCGCCGTACAGAAACTGCTCACACTGTCCGCTCGCCGGGTTGTAGAAGTAGCGTCGGAAGGCAGCACGACAACGTCCGATAACCATCGGAAGACTGCAGGTGTCTGGAATGAAGAGGTATCAAAGACATCATTTGCGGAAGCTCTACAATTTGGTGATACTGTTTCGTATGAAAAGTGTGATGACTCTCTTTTGTCTACGTACGGTTTCTGTTTGTCTCAAAGGGCGATAATTCACACGTTGCTATTTCAATGTGCTCATCTGTGTAAATAATGGTTGCTTGGTTTGTTGTTTAACGCCGCACTCAGCAATATTCCAGCTATATGACCGCGGTCTGTAAATAATCGAGTCTGGACCAGACAATCCAGTGATTGACATCATGAGCATCGATCCATCCAATTGGGATCGATGACTTGCATCAACCAAGTCAGCGAGCCTGACCACCCGATCCCGTTAGTCGCCTTTTACGACAAGCATGGGTTGCTGAAAACCTATTCTACCCCGGAATCTTCACGGGTCGTGTAAATATTGACACTTCCTGGTTAGCGACGAATAATCCACAAACGAGGCTATTATTATGAAGCTATTTAGAGTATCAGCACTCCTAATTGTAGTTAGAACATTGTCGTCCTGTGAAGGAAGTGAATTTCAATTTCACATATTTTGGTCACGTTTTGTTTTAGGTCTTCCAACCTTTGGGTATCGCTCGAGGACTATCTTTAAAGGCATATTATTCTATGAACCTTTATCCCTCATAAATAGCGTTAAGATTGCTCTGTAAAACGAGGGGGCACGGGTGGCATCACTTCGGGCTTTCCACCCACATTAAGCTGACACGCCGTGATATAACTGAAATACTGTTAAAAGCGGCGTTTAACCCAACTCACTCACTCACTGTAGAACGAGGTCCTGAATGCTTAATTGCATTTACAGTAACATTTTACGAACGCTTCCAACACTGCTGATTTCGCACACGTGAGACACACGGCTGTAAATGTCGTTCAGTATACTTACCATCAACAAGGACGGGTCTACGTGTAGGTCGGGTGAATCCAAATGTGGGGAAGGTAGGGAAGGCGGGAACACACACGGTTCTACCATAGCGCTCCACGCACCTGGAATTCGCTCCACAACGTGTGAACTACAATGAAAATGTTAAATTTGATGCATATATTATAATAATTATTATGAATAAGCATACCACAAAAGACACACTCACTTGCTCAAATTGTTTTGAGAGTTTCCAGCGCTGTTCTCAAGCAAGTATAACTGGTTCCATTGAGATGTAGGACTATACATTATGTTTCAATATATTGTCGATGTCACCTTATTTTTGCATAGTATGATACAAACATATTTAAGGATAATAGTAAGTGAGTTTGTTTTAACGCCAATTTGGACTGCATAAACGTTTTATTACAACTAATCTGCAAAAGTTTTGTAGAGAAGTCCGCAGACGTTTAATGCTTTTTTAATTTTAAAAAACAATGACAGCGGGTATAGCGCTTGCAAACCAAGAGTGAGTGAGTGAGTGAGTGAGTTGGTTTTAACGCCGCTTTTAACAGTATTCCAGTTATATCGCGGCGTGTCAGCTTAATGTGGGAGGAAAGCCCCAAGTGATGCAGGTCTCAGACGTTTACCACTTCGGTGAAACCCACGAGCACGGGTATGGTGCTGACAAACCTAGAAACATAATCGGGGCGAACCGGGATTCGAACCCACAATCATAGGTTTCTGGCGTGCCCAAGGGACGCAACTCTGCACAGCTTACAAACCAAGAATCTTATCAGGGCGAATCTGGGATTCGAACCCACGACTATATATAACCCGGGTACGGCAAAGGGAATTGCGGCGCCGAAGACAACTTCACCACCCGCGAATAATCATACATAGGCATTTGCAGATATGAAATATGATATTGACAAATCATTGGCCAAATCCTCACCGAGCAGCGTGAGGAGACTTTCGGGTGTGTCCTGTCCCCGGGGGTGTCCAGGTCGTCACTGAGGGTGGGCCACCGGTTGCACCTACATTCCCCGGGGATCATTCCATTGAGGCAGAATAATAAGCACCTTGGAACCTGTTCTGGAAAACAAGTGATTTCTGTTAAGTTACAGCTGATAGCAGCTAACAGCAAAACCACGAATTCCTAAAATCGATATGTCATTTTAAACAATTATTAAACAGTGAACAACGTTTATAACGAACTTCCGGATATAACGAACTGTTTCTTGGTCCTGTACATTTTGTGTATATATATTATACATATGCTTATAACGAACTACGGTTATAACGAATTAGAATTAGTGGTCCCTTTGAGTTCGTTATAACCGTAGTTGACTGTACTTAATACCCCTGACGGATAATCATTATCGGCTCTGAGATTATTTTCGTCACTCCGCTTGTCTCGATCTTCGGATAAATCGAGACACTGATGTCTTTGCAACTGTTGGACATGTTCACAGATATAAACCATATGTACACGAACCCGTGAAGATTCCGGGGTAGAATAGGTCTTCAGCAACCCATGCTTGCCGTAAAAGGCGACTATGCTTGTCGTATGAGGCGACTAACGGGATCGGGTGCATGGTTAGGCTCGCTGACTTGGTTGATGCATGTCATCGTATCCCAATTGTGCGAATCGAAGCTCATGATATCAATCACTGGACTGTCACGATTATGTACAGACCGCCGTCATATAGCTGGAATATTGCTGAGTGTGGCGTTAAACAAACAAATATATGTACATGAGCCATAATTGCTCCATGAGAAAAATATATCTCCATACAATTAACCAAAGGGTTTGCAATAGTTAGGCTAAAGACGTCAGTATGCGAAAGCAAATTCAGTCTTTAATATATTACTACTTTATCAATAGTTTTTTCCCCGTCGTATTACACCCGTATTGAATCGGGGCCATCTGGGTTTTTTATCTTAGATATACTCTTTTGCTCGGCATCTTAATATCCATCTGGCATTAGCGCTAAATCGTGATTCTTATTTAAGCCAAAGATTTTATCATAAACTCAGTTTAAAACGTCTTTAGGCCCACCGAAATGTTACGGCTTGGAAATTTAAATAAAGGTAATTAGGATAATTAATGTACACACCTATAGAGGAACTAGCTTCAACTGCGGCGAAGACAGCGACGGCACACAGAAGAATGTTGATGTCCATGTTGTTTTCTGCAACAACAAATATTGGGATAGTTCATGACCTGGCCTGTTGTTATATCTGACAGAACGCCTCAGACGATGTGTCACATGTCAATCATAACGGTAAACGTGTCTCAGGCAGCGTGGTAATTGTGGCTTAGCATGTTAGAGAAACACTTGTCAACAAAGCTGTCACCCTCGGGTCAAAAAGGTATTTGCACTTACTTTTTCACCCTTAGAAGCCAAAATGTTCTCTCGTATGAAAATCGGTCAAATATATTTATTTTAAAAAATATCGATTAGATCGAAAAAATGTCCATTCTATAAATTTTGATGTCAGAAAAACATTGCCAGAGTTGATGTATTTCCTAAAATATTGTTTATAGTCTTGTGTAGCAAACGAAACTAAAATAAGATTTATCATTACGTACAAAACATAATTCATAATGAATGTATACTTTTATATTAATAAGTGAAATATTGTAAAAATCATACCTGGTTGTAGTGATGTCGATATTGTCCTTGCTTCAGCAGATGGGAGTTGATATGAGAATCAAGTCGCTATACAGCCTCTATATATACACCAGCAAGCTATAAACTTGGGGAACTGAAGCGAGTGTCAAGCCCCAGTAAACACGTTCATTTTCTGAATTCTGATTGGTTGAAGAGGAATGACGTCAGCCATCCGTGTCCGACATGTCAATTCTTCAAATGAGTTGTCTCCTTGTATGCGTCAGTTACTCGATGTAAACACCATACCGTCCCACTGTTGTTATTCACTGGAATTTAACTGGGCATCAATCATTTTTATCTGCATCAGTACACCTTGACACTGACACTCTTCCGCCTCCATTGTCGCATGTTTCCCTCAAATTCCGTCAGCATTATTATCGCTATAGGTATAGTCTCAGGTAATAACATTACTACATGAAAGACTACATATGACGATATCAATCTGTTGGTCTTAGATCATAAATTACCATATCTCTCCGTGAAGATCATGGGTAGAATAGGTCTTCAGCAACCCATGCTTGTCGTAAAAGGCAACTATGCTTGTCGTAAGAGGCGACTTACGGGATCGGGTGGTCAGGCTCGCTGACTTGGTTGATGCATTTCGTCGTATCCCAATTGGGTGGATCGATGCTCATGATGTCAATTACTGGATTGTCTGGTCCAGACTCCATTATTCACAAACCGCCGTTACATAGTTGGTATATTGCTGAGTGCGGCGTTAAACAAGAAATAAACAAACATTATTAAATCTCGAATGGTGAGCGAGTTGCATGGGTTTAACGCCGCTTCAAACCGTATGTCGGTTATATCGAGAGATCTCACCTGTGTGTCATTTGATAAGAATCGATAAGAGTTAAAATAGCTTTAATAGCCCTATTCGAACAGCCTGAATCATTTCTAACTGTTTCAGTATCTAAACAATAAAAACTAGTGTCTTGAGTGTAAAAAGTACAGGGGCCCGTTTCACAAAGCAATATTAGCGAGACGACTATCGTAAACCTATGATCGTCTTTGGGCCATGTTCGCTTTGACGAACGGGCCCATGTATTTAAAACTAACTTTAATGCCTGAGATAAGAGATATCATTTATCGCGACCTCATAGTGACGTCACAGTGGTCTGTCTACAAAGCATTGTTATGTATTTTGTTGTAGCGATATCTCCCGTTAACAGTTATGGATGATGTAACGGTGTTTTTTGCACGTGCTTTATTTGTTTTTAGCCTAAAAGTTACACGGGGATGAGTAATAGATAAAGTGAGTGAGTGAGTGAGTTAAATTTTTCATCGTATCGACAATATTTCATCCATACAACGATGGAATCTAGGTAGTAGGTTTCAAAAATCTGTCGACAGAGGCGTAAAACAATAAGGTATATCACAGTTTTTTAATAAAACAATCCAGGTCCAAATTTTAAAATCATATAGTTATACATAGATTAAGTAAAAGTTAAAGAAAACTCTATCTTTGTCTCGCGCATGTATAATGATATGTATACATACGAAATACATAAATATTTATGAAAATATTTTTTAGAATATTCTTAACTGTAAATTATTACACTTAACACGTTTGTGTTCGTCGGGTTCAATGATTAAAGGGAGGAAAACGATGCCACCGGGGCCGGCGGAAACGCTGACCCGGTGTAGCGAATATGAGCACTTGTTAACAGCGTGAATAATTGACGTGTCAGGCTACAGGAGTAAACATACTGTACGCAAAGCATAAGGGAGGTAACTCTCATAGAGAAGTATGGTTTACGATCAATTTTAACACCATCTGCATGTCTTCGCTGGTCTTGTTCACTATAACATAATATTACAACAATGTAAGTATTACTTAAGATTAATGATGCAAAACTATTGATAACTGTAGATATACAAAACATTTGTTATGCCATTACATCCAGCCGTGTGTCCCTGCTGTAATTGTTCGTTCAATTCTAGACGATGCAACATATGTTGCAAACAAAATAATTCTTATGTCATTCCTGTGTGTCAACTTAATACCTCTTGTTCCTTGAGGGGGCACGGGTGGCCCAGTCGTCTAAGGCGCTGCGATTCGCTGTGCAGAGTTGCGTCGCTTGGGCACGTCAGAAACCTATGATTGTGGGTTCGAATCTAAGTTTGTCAGCACCATACCCGTGCCCGTGGGTTTCACCAAAGTGGTAAACGTCTGAGACCTGCATCACTTTGGGCTTTCCTCCCACATTAAGCTGACACGCCGCGATTTAACTGGAATACTGTTAAAAGCGGCGTTAAACCCTACTCACTCACTCACTCACTCTTGTTCCTTGAAAACAATGGGAAGGCATTGTTGTGAAAACATATTACCAGTTCTGTTTTCATGACATTTTTATTTTATTTTTTTATATTACCTTAATATTTCAACTCAGATATGTCATGTTCTCATTCCTGATTGTGAAGGTACCCCATGCGAACTATAATTTGTTTTGTTTGGGGTTAGATATAAGCGCTTTATGACAGTACATGTTCTTGCATCAATAGGTAGGTATGAAACAAAACGTCTTCGCGTCGTGTCGATCCTCTTGTTTCCCATAGGTTCAGAAATAACCGAGTTCATAAAAGGCGTATGTGCACTTGTGCAAATATCACTTCACACACACCAGCGTTTTCTTTATTACTTGCCCGTGAGACCCGTGAAGATTCCGGGGTAGAATAGGTCTTCAGCAAACCCATGCTTGCCGTAAAAGGTGACTATGCTTGTCGTAAAAAGCGACTAACGGGATCGGGTGGTCAGGCTCGCTGACTTGGTTGATGCATGTCATCGATGCTCATGATATCAATCACTGGATTGTCTGGTCCAGATTTGATTATTTACAGACCGTCGTCATATAGTTGGAATATTGCTGAGTGCGGCGTTAAACCCAAAACCAAAAACCAAAACTTGTCCGTGAAGAGATCACCCGTTTAATAAACACACAGCTGTATTACACATTGTGTAATACCCAAACGCGTGCTTATATACTCTCGGAACAAGTTTCACGAACAAATATTGAAAGCTCTTAACATCCCTTGGCTTATTCAACAACATTGCGTAGGGAGATGATAGATCACTGAGAGGAGCTTATGCACACTCGATGACCCCAGAAACCTTGTTGGTAGGCTGACGTCACATGGCATTGTTTCGCCGATGGATCTTGCAACAAAATTCCACAAATTACGTCATCAGGTATTGTGACGTGATTGTAATCTTTGAGGTGCAAGGCCACGTTCCACAAGGCGATCGTACTGTAGAGCAACGACAGTCGTTAGTCTATGTTAACCCTCTGGATGCCGAGTTTTTTTTCTGACGCACATTTTCCTTAGATCGGAAAAGTGAAGGTTGTGCGAGAATTGCGCTCACGCGGCACTGGATATACCTCTCTCTATAAACTTACGCAGAGGTGGAGAATATTAAATATCCTAATTGATGGTGTTAAGTTAACTGCAAATATTAAACCGGTTTTAAAGAAATACGCTTCTAAGTGTTGTCCGAGAATTTATTCTGCGTTGAAAAACAGTAAATTTCTTCGCTTTTTATCGTACATCGATAAAAGTACTGTGCGACGATTTTTGTTATTTCGAAGCTTTACGGAAACTGTCAGCGAACAAAATACTGCCTAATATCTGAACGACATAACTATATATCAAATGGAGTTATATGCGTATGTGTAACGACATACATTCAATGCCAAAAATAGCATGCCGTAAATGACGAAAACTGATTTTTCTCTATGACGTCAAAAGGCGACCGAGAGGTTACACGCGTACAAAGAAAAGGGGGCATAACTCCGCTATGCTTAGCACTAGGTTATTGTAACTCAGGTCAATTTGTGAGAATTAGCTGTGGGTAAGGACAATGTATTTTCGTTGTGTTTCGTTAACGAGGAACCAAACTATTCCAAGACAAATATCGATATTGAAACTGTATACGTTTTCTTGTAAATAAAACCCACAAGAAATGATGAAATCGTACTTCATAAAAAAGAGGTAATAGAGAAATGGATGGCCCTATCTAACCTATAACTTAGTCCTTATATTCCAACATTCTCCTGAGTGTGTAAGTGTAATTTGACTTATGGTGCACCATTATTAATGGAGCACTAGCTTTATCATCAAATGTAGTGAAATACCCCAAAATAACACCATTCCTTTTGACGTCATGGCCGGTTTTATGTCTTTGATAACGTCGGAGAAAGACGACACTGGTATTTTGATTTATATATATCTCCCATAATTTTCGTTCATGGTTTGGAAAATCTCGATGTGTACAATGGAATTTGACGCTTTTTCGACACAACATAAAATTACTGCTTTCACCAAGTAAATAATGTCTTGAATATGTAAACAATTAGATAGTTTATCGTGTATCTTAATTGGACAGGACACGCACCTGTTTGGCATCAATTTACGTTATGAAATTCACAAAAGAATATTTCAAAACAACCAAAATTATATTCAGTATTGGACATATATTTGTTCATTATCATGTTAGTATTTCTCTTCATCTCGTCTCAGAATGAAACAATAAAAGATGCGAAGAAAGCACTATCATATTGGTATAGAATTATATCAGGATAATCGTATAAGGTTGAACCAACGGGGTACCTGGCATGGATTTTATTTTATACATTTTAAAATTTCTGGAGAAATTAAGTAAACAGTTTAATATCCCGTGATCACAATATTGAAAAAAGAATGAACCCATTGATTATATAATGCAAAACGAGAGGAATAATTCGTAAAATGTGTGTGACTAACGCGCACCTGGCGAATCGTTAGAAATCACTGTTCTGTGTATCAAACGACATCAAAAACAGTTCCAAGACCAAGACAGTTCTTTCAGAAATGTGTGCATATATTTTACCGAATTTATTTTGTAAAAGTAATATATTCAGTTTTAGTTATGAAATAAAATGAAACGGATATTCATGGACATTGCTAATATGAACTTATAATAATGACTATTGCACATCCCAAGAAATGCGTACATGCTGCAGTTACATTTACACTTCTTGTAACACTTGTCCAAAGGAAAGAAATATCATATGCGACACTAAAAACCTATC